AAAAAAAAAAAAAAAAAAAAGGAAAGAAAAAAGAGAAAGAGAGAGAGGAGGAAAAATAAGCTTGAATAGTTAAACATATTAAATATGAATTGCTTTGAATATTTCCACCAAAATAAACATTCAAGAAAAAAACACAGTGTAAAGATGTACAGTGTCTGCCACTCAGAAAAGAAAATTGGGCTAATAATAATAATACAGACTTAAGACACTGTTGACACATGGATCATGTCTGACACTTCACAACTGCATGAGATTCCCTAGAGAGTGTATGTAAAACACTATGGAGGGTACCCCTATGGTGGGGATCAACCAGACATCCTAGATTAAGAAGGAACAACCAGAGACAGAACATAACAAAGCAGAGGCCGATATCACAACTAATGAAAGCATAGCAAAGGATGGAGAAAAGTTAAAATAACGGTACGTTTTCTCTTGTTTTGCCTTTTTTTTTTTTCCAGCAAGAAAGTCATCAATAATCTTGATGAGAGCAGTCTGTGAAGGAAAAAAAGAGAGAAGCTGAACATCAGTAGATCAGGGATAAATGGGAGGTGATGAAGTGGGACCAGTAGGGACACACTCTAAAGTCTTGACTGTGGAAGAGAGGATGAAAGAAAGGCAGCAAGTAGACATGTAAAGGTGAAAGCCATTTTTAAGGCAGGAAAGACATGCTCTCCAACCTTCCACTGTTTATATAATCCTACAAACGGCTTTCCATTCTATTTCCACCTTCACAGCTCATCTGCTCTCTCTGCTCACAGAATTTCCCCAGTGTTTAATCTTCTCTTAAGCCACAGGGTCCCAAGTGGGCTCCTCCTAGACTGTGTGAGGGTGGCCTCCTCTATGCCCTAGAAATGCCAGACTCTCCTGTTGGCCCAAGGATGGATTACACACACACTCCCTGCTGGGAGGATCTGCCCAATTGCATTCGGATTTTATTATTAACTTAAAATGTGAGTGATCATCATTCTGTTTCTTAAAATATAATTCTCTCTTGGGTCCATTTATTTCTCTGAAGCCAAAATTCCTTGGACTGTGAAACACAAGGACATGGAAAGCAGCAAATGACAAATAGAACCTAGTGACGAGAACTCACTGTTGAGCACGAGGAAGAAGCAGTCTCCCATCTCCTTGCAAAGGCAGGAGCACTTCAGCGCAATGGAACCTGGCCCTGGATGCTCTGTCCTCTCCATAAGTGTGACCACTCTGAATTGTTTGGAAATCACTTGTGAATGGGGAAAAGTCCAATTTAGACACACACACACACACACACACACACACACACACACACACACACACCACTGGGTTTTACTCGCAGCCCAATTCTTTCTATGTGGGTAGAGCTTACTCAGCTTCTAAGGAGCCTGCTGGAAATTCAGAACCTATCACAAATCTTATCCCTGATGCCAGCCCAAGCTTCTGTCCTAGAGTTGTTGAGTGTGTCGGATGTGTTTATGAAGATCTGTTCAGCATGAGAAGAGGGAGTAGAACTCCAACTTCCCAATTCTGTGTGGTTTTTCAAAACAGAAAGAACTCCTCTGAGTCAATTAAAATTAAGCATCTCCCAAGGACCCAAAGGGGAAATCTGGCTCCAAGAAAAGGCAGCCCAAGGCAGGGGGTAGGAAGATTTGATCCATTGAATGGGCATTTTTCTCCCCCTCCTTTTCTGTGGGTAGAGTGTCACAGGAAGCAACAACCCCCGCCCCCCAACACTGATGTTCCTCCTGGTGATACATGGGTGAGCAACAGAGGGAAGGCTGTGTGCGTTGTTTTCTCAGATGTGTTTGAAGATCATCCCAGTCTCCCAAATGTAAAACTTCCTGATAGCCTTTCCATAGAAGAGGTCAGGAACAATCTGGCATAAACCAAATAGCCCAGAAATTCAACAGGATTTGAATCCTGTTGGTACTATTAGAATCCTGAGGTACTATTTCTCTTGGAAAATCAAAATATGAACAAAACTACCTAGGGCTTAAAGAGTCAATACATTTTTTTTAACTTATAAATTACTTGAGTTTTATTAAACACATGGAAATGGAACCAGTGAGGCAATATGCACACCTATAGATAGTGATATATTACAAGTAGATATAGATTTTAGGGAACTATGATCTAATGTTCCTTTATTTCCACCTTGCCATTAACACTACTATCTCCCACCTTTAAAGAAAAAAAACAATAACTTTATTCAACTATTCTTTCCAGAAATGTCATCTACCTATAACACTGTCAAGACCCACAACAACTCCACTGTGCTCTTGTTGGCCTGACCCAGAGACCAGGAGTTACAACAGCCATCACAATGGCAAGCAAACCAAGCTTCCTAAGCCAGCACTAATAGTATACGCCGACTTTTATCTAGCAGCTCCCAGGTCAAGCAGAGAGGAAGCTCAGCTACTACCAATGCTGGCCTGCCCAATGCCCTCCAAGGAAAAGTGGGGAGCACCACCAGCTTGGCTAATACAAGTGGGGCAAAGTGCCTACCATGATTAATGGAGCATATGGCCTGGATCTAGAAAGGGAAGCTGTACCCTGCATTCTTTTCCAAGAAGGGAGGAAGCAGGAGTGGCCTAAGTCCTGAGAAATGCTCCTGGGTGCCCTGGATGCATCCTGGAGACTCCCCCAGCCTGTTCTGGGAGGGCTATGCCACTCCAAGCAAGAAGTTCCACTAAGTCTTCTAATAAATAACCCAACTGTCATGCAAGTCAAATACTAAGATCCAATCC